TGTAGCCATCCCTCGGGGGGGGGGGCAGGGAGGGTATATGAGTTCTCACTTTTCCTCTTTATTTCTCTTTCTATCACTGGCAAGCACACATACCCTATACCAAACTCAACATTTGAAAATGAATAAGTAAAATGAGGAAACAAGCTGAAAGCATTAGTAACGTGTTCTTTTCTCATAGTGTATACTTGTGACTAGGTGGCGCCGATGCTGTGGTTACTTGGAATCAGAATTAATTTATTAAATATATTATTTGAAAAATAATAACTGTTCACTGAAAAGGCTTGGAGAAAATGACAAACCCATGATAGTCTCTCAGAGAGATATCTAAAACCATTTCCTCTTTAAAGGAAGCAGGGCTCTTTGAAGGAATTTGTGATTCCAGGTTGGGCAAGAAGCATTCAAAATGAGTCTGGAACATCTTGTCAGAAGATAAAAAAGCTATTGGGTGGCTCTTTGGCTTGGTGGTTAAGAGGGCCGGATTCCACATGGCCAACTAAGTGGTTCAAATCCTGGACCTGGCAGCTTGAAGAACATAATGGGCGTGTGTGCCCAAAATCCGAACAAGGTGGAGAACTGGAGGAGGAATTGTGGTATGACCACACCCCACTAGGAAGTGCTTTCTCCTTTTCACTTGTTCTGTCTCCCTCTGGTGAGTGCAAGTATGCTTTGGCAAAAAAAATTTTTTTTAAAAGACAGTAAACTATCAGTGACCCATGAGCATTGTTGAAAGGTTTCTGGAGCTAACTTAGGTTCCCAGTGACTAAAGATGGGAGCATTTGAACATTGACACAACAGGTCTGGCCCTTGTAGCCTAGTGGTTAAGGGAGTCAGAACCCCTATGGCTGACCATGGTTCCGATCTTGGCCTCAGCAGCTTGGAAACCATGCCAGATGTGTGAGCATACATGCTCAAAATCCCTACAGGATGGAAAAATGCAGGAGGTGTTACAGTGTGGCTACACTTCACTGGGGGAGGGGAAGGTTGCTCTTTTCTCCCCTCCACTCCTGTTAAAAAAAAAAATCTATTGATGGGACCAGTGGATGGTGTGGTGGTTATGTCGCTAGTCTCCCACATGGCTGATTACAGTTCGAGTCCCAGACCCGGTAACTTCAAGATCAAGCCAGGCATGTGTGCCCAGGAAGGATCCTGGTAGGAGAATGGAGGAGAAGGGATTGTGGTGTGGCCATCATCCCGTGGGGGTGGGGGAGGTTGATTTCTTACTTCCCCTTTCACTTTTCTGTCTCTCTCTCTCTGGTGAGTGCAAGCACCCTAAGATATAAACCTCTCAAAAAGAAATACACACACACACACACACACACACACACACACACATATATAGACAAGATATAAAGGATTTGAACAGCACCATGAGATGCAATTAGCAGAATTTTAAATGACAGAAATAATGGGACTAATGACTTAATTTTTTCAATGAATGATAGAAACATTAAAAATAAGGCCCAAACACAGTAGTGTGCTCTGGATGCTGCAGGATAAGCTGGGCCATATGTGTGACCTGGATGCAATTACTGGCCCAATCTAAATAGGTGGGCATGACAGCGCCTGCTTTTATCCAGCTATGGTAGGCTTAGGTAGGAGGATGGGGAACTTGTGGCCAGCATGAGCAACATAGCAAGACTGTCTGCAAGAGCTAGGCACTGTGACACATTGCTGTTGTCCTAGCTACTTAGGAGGCCGAGGCAGAAGGGCCCTGTCTAAGACCCTGACTTAAAACAACAACAAACTACACACATGCAAATTTAAAAAGGATAGGAGAAAAAAGGAACTCAGGAAGCATCAACAGTATTCAATGTGTGCACCTGTTTAGAATAAACCAACTAAAAATAAAACTTGAGGAACTGAATCTTTTAAACTTTATTCATATCTTTCATGAGAGAGGCAGGCAGGCAGGTGAGACCCGAGACAGGGTCTTTTCATGCTTCAATCCTCCCTGAAGCTTCCCAGCCAGCTGGGACCACAGGCATGTGTAGGAGCACCTCGTGAGTTTAGGTCCACCTGGTATCTCAACCCACGTGGCCCGGCATCACACACCAGCACTCTCCCACCTGTACCACCACAGCTGGGCCAGATATTGTAATCTTTAGTTTGTTTGTTTTTGTTGAGGTTTTTGCCTTAGGGCATGTGCACTCATGTGAGAGAGAGAGAGACAGACAGACAGACAGTGATAGGGAAAGTGAGAATCACCCCCCGAGGGGATGGCCATGCTGCAATCCCTTCTCCATTCTGCCAGGATCTTGGGCATGCAAACACACGCACCTGGCGTGATTTTCAAGCCACCAGGTCTGAGACTTGAACCACGATTGGCCATGTGGAAGTCCAGCGACATAATTGCTATGCCATCTGCTCGTCCCAATGTTGTAATCTTAATATGGTATGATCACCATACACTGATGTTAGGAAATACTTTTTAGTTATATTAATAATCATCTGGATATAATTTTGAAAAGTTATTTTGAGATCTATACTGAAGTATTTATAGATATACTGCTCTAATGTTTTGGATTTGCTTTAAGAAATCCAGTAGGGGGTAGAAAGTGGGTAGAGCTTAGATGAAGCAATATTTATTGGCCATGTATTGATAATTATTGAAACTGGGTAGTGAATATGTAACAGTTGGTAATACTATCTGTATGTTCTTTGAATTTTAAAAATAAACATTTTTATATATAGTTTAAATATATATTTAAGTGTAAATAAAATAGTTTTACATATAATTCATAACTATATCTAAAGCTGAATTTTTTCTTTTTAAATGACGGAGCCTTACTATATGACAATTCTCTTGCCTTAGCCTCCTGAGCAGCTGGGATCACAGCCACATACGACTGTGCCACATTTAGGTTGGGCTAGTAACCAGTCCCAGCTCTCCTATGTGGCCCTGGCCTGCAGAGCAGTGCCTTAGCACATGCCGCCATGGCTGGGCTTAAAGTTGATTTCCAATTGGAGCATTATAGCTTGGAAAGAGCAATGCTTTCTAGAGCCATGTGGTAGCCATTGTAGCCCCCCCATTCAGAGTTTATCAGAGTAGGATTGGCAGCTTGGTGTATCCCTTCAGGGAGGTTACTAATCTTTACCTGAATGGTCCAGGTGCCATGATCTATAATATTGCCACCAGAGTCATTAATATGAGAAGACACATGTGAAAAGTAACTTACATAAAATTTATAGCTGATAAAATTATGTTGTAAATTTCTAGTTTCCTAATCAGCGAAACATGTATATTTTAGCAGCATCAAATGTAACACCTTAAGTGTAGTGTATGTATTGTACATATAGTATATTTTCAAAATGAGCTAATTTTTATAAACAAAAGGTATAGTTACAGGCATATATTTTAAGAAAACATCACATTTCTTTTTTTTTTAGTTTTTATTTTTATTTTTTTTTTTTTTTGCTATAGGGCATGTGCGCTCGCCAGAAAAACAGAGAGACAGAGAGACAGAAAGCAAGAAATCATCCCCCACGGGGGATGGCCACGCCACAATTCCTTCTCCTCCATTCTCCTCTCGGGATCTTGGGCACGCATGCACAAACCCCCAGTGTGAGTTTAAGCCACCAGATCCAGGACTCGAACCACAGTCAGCTACATGGGAGTCCAGCAACATAGCCATTACATCAACTGCTGGTCCCTACATCATGTCTCTTTTTTTTTTCTTTTATTTCTTTTTACATTTTTCCACAAACATTTACTTTACATATCAAAAAAAAATTTGCTCATACTCCATAGTTCCTGACAGTTAATAAACAACTTTCAAATTTTCAAAATACTGAATTTTTTTAAAGAATTATTTATTTAATTTTATTTATTCATTCATTTTATTTATTTATTTTAATTTGATCAGAAAGACACAGAGAGAGTGAAAGAGGGAAAGTGAGAAAGCAAGCTGCCAGGTCTGAGATTCGAACCATGGTTGGCCATGTGGGAATCCAGCGCCCTTATCCACCACGCCACTTGCCGGCCCCATAAAATACTGAATTTTAAAAATAATATTCAAAATATTTCTTATAATTTTGTATAATTTTGTTTGCGACTCTATAACAGAGACAGCATGGTTTTAAATATTTTTGAGAAAATATTTACATGTCGAAAAGCAAATGCCCAGCATACAAGTCACACATAAATCTTCCCAATTCAGCTCTGCCTACCAACCATTCTGTGATATACCATCTACTGGCAAAGATCAGTCTTTTTTTCTTCCTTCGTCTTTCTCAAGATAATCCTCTGGTGTGGTTGCCCTTTTGCAATCTTTACTGATTACATTGCTGGGCTGGTAAAGTCCAGGTTATTTTATGTTATAGATTCTTTCATATATCTTCTCTAATCCTCTCTGCCAGGCAGAACTATTTATGGTGCCAGGCCATCTTTCTAAGAGCTTCTGTTGGCTTACCCGAGATCCACCTTAGTTCCATAGTTCCCTGATTAATCTTCAGATATGACATTCCAGTCAAAGCCCTGTCCAATAATGAGTATTTCCAATTTCTGATTCAATGCAACAAGCATTATTGAACTTATGCAAATGACCCTCTGCCACAAAATAAGAATACTCCCAAATATTTTCCAATTCCAGAGGGGTCAGGAAGGAAGAAAAGTTAGCTTCCCTGAACAGGCCAGAACACACCTCTGCTTTAAAATGGTTTCTTGTCTTGGGACCAGCAGTTAGCATAATGGATATGTCGCTGGACTCCCATGTAGTCGACCGCGGTTGTGTCCCAGACCTGGTGGCTTGAACTCACGCCGGGTGCGTGTGCGTGAGTGCCCAAGATCCCAGGAGGAGAATGGAGGAGAAGGGATTGATGCGTGGCCATCCCCCATGGGGGGTGATTTCTCGCTTTCTGTCTCTATGGCGAGCGCACGTGCCCTATAGCAAAAACCTCTCCAAATAAATTAATTAATTAAATAAAACGACTTCTTGTCTGAATATTTCAGGAGTCTTGACATCATGTTTCTTTTGTTTGAAATGTTTTCCTCTCTTTTCTAGGAAGTTGTTTTAGGCTATGTGAAAGAGATGCTTCCTTATCTCTAAGGCTTACCAGAAACTCTAATTTGAAGACAGTGAGTGGATTTTGCACCAAACCACAGGAAAATCCAAAAGCACCATCCCGTAAGTTTTTGTTGGTTTTTCAAGTTATGGAGAGGTAGCTTCCAAAGAGTAGGATAACTTTGGGATGAAAGAATCTAAAGGAGAGGCTGTCACAGGGTTCCTTATATTATACCCAATGATGTAGAGAGAGTCATAATCTTATGTAAGTAAGACTTCTTGTCTGGTTTTTCTCAGACACTTACAGCCACAGAGTGCCATTACACAAACCTACAGATTGGGAGAAGAAGATTTTGATTTGGTCAGGTCGTTTCAAAAAGGAAGATGAAATCCCGGAGACTATCACGTAAGTGCTGAACTTAGGCTTGTAAAGCAGCTTTCATTTCTCACTGATCTGTTTTAAGAGAAAAGCAGTTACTCTGACTTCTGATTATTTAAAAGTTTTCAACCAAATTTGAAAACATTTTTTCACCTCTCCAAATGTTCATCTTTGGCAAGTGCCTGGAATAAAGACAATGCTGGAAAACCTGTGTCTTACCATTGGTATGTTATATAATAACTAGTGAAGAGCTGTCGGGTACTCTGAAGTCAGTATCAATTGATTTCATCTCCTACCTACAGAAATGTGACAAAACAGTGATGTTCAATTAGGTGCCAGTGACATAACTATATTCTACGAAATCCACTCCAGTATTCAACCTTAGGCATAAGAATATTTAAATGCACGGGCTGGCCCTGTAACTCAGAGATTAACCACTGCGCTTAGAAAACCAGATCCCATACAGCAGTCAGTGGTTCAAATTCCAGCCCTGGCACCCCTGATAGTCATGCTGAGTGAGTGTGTGTGCCCAGCATCCTGATGGGATGTAGAAATTAAGAATTCCCACATGACTACATTCTATGACCCTCCATGAGGGCACTTTTTCTTATGAGTGTACATACTCTCTGGAAATGAAAAAAAATGTGTTGAAATGTAACATTCTGAGGTTTAAGAGGGATTGTTCCCTCTCACTAGCTTCCTTAACCTAGCTTTGGCTGAGATCTTGAGACTTTTCAGAGCTTGTAGGTGATAAGTATAAGTTCTTCAACCCATCGTTTCCACCCTCAACACTACTGATACTTTGGGCTGGATAATTCTTTGTTGTAGGGAGATGTCCGTGTACTGTAGAATATTTAGCAATAGCCCTGTCCTCTGTCTGTAGGTGGCAGTAACACTCCCTCAGTGGTGACAGTCAGAACTATCTCCAGACTTTGTCAAATGTCTCTGAGGTTGCAAAATTCCTTCTGTTTATGAGCTAGTGCTCTGGCCCCATGCTAAAGACCTTGGCCAAGAGGGATCCTCAGAAACATGCCATCTTCTCTGACGGATATTACCAAATTCAGACAGGAACTTTGGACAAAGCTGTTGGAAGTTTTCTCTCTCCAAGAAACTGTTGCATTTCAAGTCATGATGGAAAAAGAGCTGGGTATATTGAGGGTGTCTTTCCCATGAAGATGAGTAGTATTTGCTTTGTTTACAACAGCTTTAAGAGAGCCCTTCTGCCTCTGTCTGTCAAATTAGATAGCACAGAGACCAGATAGCACGGCAGATTGTGTAATGGTTACATCACTGGACTCCCATATAGTTGACCGCAGTTCATGTCCTGGACCCAGTGGCTCGAGACTCACACTGGCTACACATGCCTGTGTACTCAGGATCCCAAGAGGAGAATGGAGGAGAGGGGACTGCAGTGTGGCCATCTCCCCAGAGGGATGATTTCTCACTTTCTGTCTCTGTGGTGAGTGCATGCACCCTTTAGCAAAAATAGGAGAAATTTTTGCTATCAGGTGTATGCGCTCACCAGAGAGACAGAAAGTTAGAAATCACCCCCCTTCTTAGGGGGGATGGCCATGCCACAAAACATTCTCCTCCATTATCCTCTCAGGATTTTGGGCACGGACACACACATGCCTGCCATGAGTTTCAAGGGACTCAAACCGTAGTTGACCATGTGGGAGTCCAATGATATAACCACTACACCATCTGCTGGTCCCATGCACTCCAGTTTTTAAATGTTTCTTTACATTTAAAATGGATCACTTTTCATGAGAATCACAGCACTTCAGTTAGAAATGCCAGCTCACATAAGATAGCGTCCATGCAGGTCATTTGTGGTTGGTGGGATTGCAGACACTCTGAGCATTTGTCCCTGGTTCCTTCCACCCTGCAGGCCAGCTCCAATGTCTGGAGGACCACACACATTGCTGCCTGTCGGGTCTCACTCTTACATCACACTGTCCATGCTCTCAGGGTCCTCTTCCTATCCACCTGCAGCATCCCAGACCTGGACTTCTTTCAAGCTTGTCTTCAGAGCCATTTCCTCCCAATTTTAAAAATAATGTATGTTAAGTATCTGGGGGAAGAAAGCACTCCAAGCCCATCACATAGAGACAGTCATTTCCTATTTACTCCTTTATGGAAGAGGCCAGAGGTTCTTATCTTGGGCGCCAGTCGGACTTCATAGTCCCTGCCTTGAGACTCTACCAGGCACCCAAGTAATAGAACCGCAGCCCACTGCCTACCCACACAATCACTGACATAGAGTAGTCTTCTCTTTAGATTCCTCCATGTTGGACTCTTAGCTTTCATATAAGAATGATGGTCTGACCCTCAGCTTTCTGTTACGGTACCCGAATGTGTACAGTGAACAGGTCAAAAGAGATACATTTAAGGTATCTGCAATCTCAAGTTCACTGTCACTTAATTTTAGCAAAACATTAGTTAAAAGATACATTAGGGGAACATTGCTTAAAGGATCTTTCTGCTATTTCAGATATCCTCAAATCTATTTCTGTTTGAAGACAGAATAAAAGGCATATAGAGCTGGGTATATAGAGCCATTGTTTAACTCTCTCCCATAGTTGCCCTTTCTGAATTATGCTTTGTGTTGAATCTTATGAAGCTCATAGCCATATCTGTTGTCAGGGTGTTGTTCAGTCATTGTATCACATAATGCCTTCTTCATAAGAACCACAGGGAGAAATAGCTACCCATTTCACTTCTAGCACTGGCTGTTAGAAATCAGTGTCTTGTCATATTAATGACTCTGGTGGCCACATTATATATCGTGGTACCTGGTCTGTTTGGGTATATTAGCAACCTCTGAGAAGGGATAAACCAAAGTTGTGAACCTCCATAGCAGTGTAGATTAATATGCCTTGCCCTGTGACCCGCAAATGGCATTAATAGTCATGTTGCTGGACTCCCACATAGTCAACCTTGGTTCAAGTTCCGGACTGGTGACTTCAAACTCATGCCTGGCGTGTGTGTGTGTGTGTGCCCAAGATCCTAAGAGGAGTCTGGAGGAGGAGGGATTGTGGCATGGCCATCCATCCTGGGGGGTGATTTCTCACTTTCTTTCTCTCTGTCTCTCTCTCTCGTGAGTGAACATGCCCTATAGGAAAAATTTCTCTTTACCAAATATATATATATGTACATATATACACATATATACACACATGTGTACATATATACATACATATACATACATGCTTTGCCTTTTGTCTGCTTGTTTTGTTCCTGGTTCTACTTGGTCTTCATACTGTATTTCTTTTAAACTACTTTAAATATGTGCTATTTTGTTGTATTTTATATACAAATAAAATGAATTTTAGGAATGTCCCTTCCTCCCCAAAGTCTTTTTTTTTTTTTTAATTTTTATTTTCTACCTTAATTCAGTATACACCATCACAACCCACCAATAAATTTTCCATCCAAAATACACTGTGTACTGGTTCAATCAAGCACATCAACATACATGTTCTCAGCAAGTAATTTTCCAATTCTTACATCCTGCATACCTTGCCCTTTGTCTTGCCATCCCTGATTCCCCATCCCCCACCCTCTGCCATGTCCCATCTTCCTCCTCCAT